GGAAGGCTTTATTCGGCTGCTCTTCGGCTACTTGGTGGCGGACCTTCTCACGCTGGTGTGTCGGGCTCAGGAGAAAGCTGGCCAGCAACTGGGGAGCTTCGTGGTGCTCTCAGGAGGAAACCACTCCAGCCTTGGGGAACAGCTAGACCCCTCTGAGCCACCTCCCACCCCGGACTTCTGCAGGGGCTACTTTGACGTGATGGGGCAGTGGGACCCCCCCTTTAACTGCAGCTCGGGGGAGTTCATCTTCTGCTGTGGCACTTGTGGCTTCAGGTTTTGCTGCAAGTTCAAGAAGACAAGGCTGGATCAAAGCACCTGCACAAACTATGAGACGCCGTTGTGGATGAACACTGGGAAGCCTCCTTCCCGCATAGATGACCCTCTGCACGACCCTACCAGGGATAAGACCAACCTCATTGTCTACATCATCTGTGGGGTTGTGGCAGTCATGGTGCTGGTGGGGATCTTCACCAAACTAGGGCTGGAGAAGGCACACAGACCCCAGCGGGAGCACATGTCCAGGTAAGGCTGAGTGCCAGGCAGCAGGGTCCCCTTCCCCCCTACCTTCCGCCCCTACCCCTAAAGAGGAGAGAGGAGCCCATGTGTTCCTGCTAAACAAACAACTCCTGCCAGGCAGGCTGCATCCCCCTGCAAGGCAACCGAGAGAGACCAACTTTGGAGAGCGGAGCTCCTGTGGTTCCCCAAGCCCAGGTTATCAAAGTACATGCATATTGAGGAAGACTAGAAATAATTGTGGAGTCTGCACAGACAGTAGTCCATTTTTATCTGCAGTGTCTGACCCTCTCCCCAACAAGATCCAGCAAGTGTTCCCGGATATACTGTGCATGAATAGGAAAACAAAAAAATCCTGAAACCAGCAACACTGAATTATAGAAAGCCTGATGGGTTCCCTCTTCCAACTGTTTCAAAGCTTGGAAAATGTTTTTCTTCTCAACAGAAGGATGTAAACAAATGTCATCTCACCCTCCCTCTCCAGCTGCAAAATGGTTTTGGCAGGACCTTCCCTACTCCCCCAACCCTTGCAAGTGTGTGAGCTATTTGTAAAATTTCTAAGCTGTGAAAATGAGCCAGGGTGGAAGGGAAGAGGGAGACACAAAAAGGAAAAGCTATTGTAGAATTTCTTAACATTCTTTCAGTTACTGTTAAGAGGTAAAAAATGGAATATGAAAGTCTTGTCTCATCCATATATGTGTGTGTTAATACTCTGTATCCACAGTGTAATGGCTGAGTTATATCAAAGAGAACCTCCCCCACCTGGAGTTAGGCGTGCTGTGTACTGTCTACTCCAGCCACTGGCTGCCTAGTGGTGGATAGGTAGGTGGGCAACTCAGGACAGAGCCCAATGGCTTTAACAGCATATTCCAAACCCAGATTGTCACAGTAGTTCAAAATCAAGACATAACACATTTGTCAAGTTTGCAGTCTGACTGATTCTTTATGCTAATTCCAGGCACATGAAAGTAAAGCAGATGGGGGAAAGGCATTAAAAAAGGCAAACAGCTCCATTAAAGAGTCTAAATAGATTCCAGGATATCGGGCAACTTTAGTGATGAAATGCAATTAAAAGGGTACCTTCTACTGGACATGCAGCGTGGCAGAAAGCTTCCTCTTGCCCTGACTGGTAATGGTGTAGTTCACAATCTTTAGAGCTTAGATGAAGAGTCATCCTTTGAAAGATAGTCCAAGAGATCAACTCAACGCCTGGAGCCTTATTTTTTACTGAAGTTTTTGCATGACTTTTTGATTAACTACTTATCCTGAAATGAACAGAGGAAGCCACAAAATACTCCTGCAAATGCATCACCAGTTCACTAGCAATTATTTGCTATTTATAAACTGGCTGATATGGATATGCTTTTACTACCGAGGAACAAAGCACATTGCAGAAATTTTAGTCAACTTAACATTGTGTGTCAGTGATACTCTGCAAAGATGGTTTTTGTTGAGCAAGGTATAATAATCCTTGAGACATTTTGAATATTCTCAACTACTAAATTGAGAAAAAGAATACATGGGTCCCAATTTTTTTTAAAAATCTTACTCTTAAACTACGGAGCTTGTTTGGAAAAAGCTCTCCCTTGCTTCAGCCTCTTTCTGTAGTGCCTTCATGCAGGCAAAAAGGCAGGGCTCATAACAGTTACAAAAAACAGGACGTTTGAAGTTGTAGCCATCCCTGCTTATATACGGCTTAAATAGGTCCTATTTCTACTAGTGGAAATATTGCTGTCTAAAGTACAGGTGTGAAGTATTCTGAAAGAATATTCTGTATTAGTTTATGGAAATAGAATTATAGGGGATTGGAAAATCATTCTGAAATCCTTCAGTCATGTATGCATAAAGATTAGGTTTCTGAAGTGGTTCTTAGAAAAGGTAGCCTGTTACCCTGATTACTTAACAGTGTCTGAGATCTTGTACTTTTCTCACCATGAAAATGTTCAAGTCAGGATTGTATAGGAACTTGGAAAGTCATGATCACATGGAAAAACAGTCACCCACTCAGTACACATAATAGCTAGTCATGTTCTGAAAAAGCAGTGCTATAGCTTTTTTTTTTTAAAAAAAAAGTTCTCACACTCCTATTACAGCTGTGGGGTGGGCTTACCATTAATTTGAAAAGGAATTAGATTTGTAAATCCCTTTGGCAATCTAAAAATCTGTTCATTGAGTGAAGAATTGAAGTACCCTTTTTGTCCTCGAATGTGTGTTTAACTAAAATATTCCATCCTAGCTCATTTTACACTACTAATGTTCTGAAAAAAAGGCTGCAATGCTTAAGAAATAATTTATCTGTTTAAACAGTTAATCGTACCAACAGTTAAAATAATATGTAGCCTATATTCATATTCACCTTCTTTTATAACTCATCACTACAATATCAAAAAAACAAAACCAAAAAGAACACTTATGTTTTTTTCTGTACTGAACCTTATTAATAAGCAAAAGTATAATGCATTGAGAGTGTTAGGTAGGCCAAACCAAAAGTACTAAGTGTTACTCCATTTTGGCTGGCAGCAAGAAACACACGGAGGCTGATTTGTCATCTGTTTTTCCTTAGCTAAGATTGTCTCTTTTCCCTTCCCTAGCCAATGGCTACATGAAACACTTGAATCCTCTTCATTCCTATGAGCAAATTCACCTATGGAAGGGATGGTACTGCTTATCAAAAAAGACAATGCATAATGTAAACTGATCTTTTTTTATGAGGACTGATTTTTTAAAAAAGTGAACAGAATACAACTGGTGTAAATTATATATTTCCATTTTTGATTTACTAAAAATATTTAAAAATATGAACATTGACTTATAAATAGGAAGCAAAACTGTGCCACACATTAATTCCTTGCATTATTTCATCTTGTAGTCAGTGGATCTGCTGTTGAAGTAGGACACTGGTGTGTGTAAGAGTGGTACAATGTTGTTAAAGGAAACTTCACAGGCTTGGCGAGCGTAGTTTCTATACACTCACCTTTCATTACATTTTGTTTACTGCTATACCAAAACAAACCAAGAACACTCCATTAATTTCACTGAACTGTCCTGAAATATTTGACAATGAAAAGGCATCGGGGAAATGTATTTATTTAGTGAAAACAATCCATAGGAGAAAACCTCTGTTGGGCAAGTCCTTTTAGGAAGAAAGAGTCAAAATTTGTCCTTTTTTAGAGAGCTTGTTACTTCCTTTTGTTTTGAGAAAAAAGGCCAAGTGTGGCAGTGTTGACATTTTCTTTCTTGTTAGATCAGTGCTTTTCAGTAAAACACTCTTACTGTTGGCATGGAACGGTAAATCTGGAAGATGAAAATGGAGAGGGGAGTACAGTATTAACTCTACATGACATATTTCACTTTAGACATCATATGATAATGTTTTGTTTATATCATTCTCCTCATTTTTAAATTTGTTACTTGACATTAAAAGGAGATAAATATTCCCTTCAGCTACAGTGTCCAGGAACTAAGCCGTAATAGTAGTACCCAAACAGAGTAACTCTTCCTTTACCCTCCTGCTTCCTAAGAGAATAAGGGAATAAGATGGTGTATGTTATCAGATACAGCAAAGGGAATGAAAGTGGCAGTATTGTGCCTAAAAAGAAACAGCATTGATCTGCTTCCTGAAGCAGATCTAGAAGCTCTGTTAGGCATATGAGGGCAGCATGTTCTTGCTGCTTAAGACTACATCAATGGGCATTCCAGGCTCCATCAGTTAAAGTGGAGAATTCTCTCTCAAAAATGAGTAGGAAAGGGAAAAGCTTTACTTCTGTTTCATGGAGGAGATTTTTCTGTAAATAAAACCACACCTTTGTCTTCTTCCCTAATCCTTGTGGAGAATGTGCAAACAAACCAAGAACTGAAAGGACAATATTTACAATCATGCTCATACACTATAGTTCCTGTTTTTTTGAAGCAGTGCTTCTGACAGTATGTTAGCAGCCTTCCAAATACTGTGAACCATCTGAGCTCTTCTTTCTTCCTTCGCAATGTGCTGAGCACACGAGTTAAGTCTTTTGTTGCTCATTCAAAAGGCATGTACCTGGGGCCAAAAATAGTCTGACTTGCCAAAATCCTGAATGCTATCTGTGAAATTATTCCCCTTATGGGTTTTGGCCCAGTTTTGGAGGCAAAATATGACAAGTGACCTTTCATGAAATAACCAGTGTTTCAGCTTCTTCAAGCTTGTACCAATAAGGGAAATGTCTGGCTCCACATGCTTTATAACACCCAAAAATAGCATTACATATCCAAAGAGAAAAAACTTATGGCAAGAGAAATGCTGAAGTTTTGAGATACTTGGGTAGTTCTGGGCCATGAACTCCTGTGTAGGTAACATTTCTCCACTTTTGTAATACTGCAGTCAATATCAATACACAGGACCTAATGATATCGCTACCTGATTAGAAGGTTATCTTGTATTTTGCATTTCCTTAAAAAAACATTCAATATGGCAAAGCTGTAGATAAAGACCCTCTGTGTATATAATTTTTCAATGGGACCCACTCTAACAATTTCTTCAGATAATGAACAAAATCTGTATGACGATATTCAGGTGAGACAAATGCATGAAGGTATTATCACAGTCTGTTAGCCTATATGGAATTTTTTGAAGCAAACATCTATTCAAGGATTTTGTCACGTACTGGGGCACAAACCTCCCTTTATCCATTTCATTATATGGGCAAATCCCTAAAAGAACAAAACGCAGGTACAGCATTTCCTTTGTACTTCAGTGATACAAGCTGCTACACATTTTTAACTCTCCCTGACATCAGTGGAAGATAAGGACAAGCTCTTTGTTATATGAGCTATTCAGCCCTGAGAAGATTGTACAACTTTGGCTAACACAGTATAAACATAGGTGCTGTGTTGTTAAAAATAGAATGTGATGGTGAGTAGTTCCTCTTTTCTTAATATAGTGGGAGCTGGACAGCTAATTCCTTAAAACCCCTTTGAAAAAAGCCACCCTAAAATGGTAGAAAACTTAGTTGGCATTTTCACAGACAGGCACTAGTTAATCTGCTATCATACGGGGTGTTATTTAAAGTCTACAGTGAACATCAGATTAAGGGCCATGAGGAAAGCATTTCTGAAAACCTGCTCTCACAAAGTTGGGAAATACTAATCCGTGTATTACGAGATCTCACAGTTTTAACTCCCACATTGAAGTTGGAAACTTTTGTTTGTATTTCTTCCCTTCCCAGAAATGTGTCCAGCTGCCTCTGGAATTAGAATTAATATTGATGTTAATAATTTCCTTTGTATAGAGACATATTTGCATAAATTGACTAGATATTAATGGTTTTGGTCCCCACTTATTTTAAACTATGTTTTGCAATATAACACTTTCCTTTTGCGTAATTTTCTACATACCTTTGTGAGATCTCTTCTATTGAATTTTTATTTTTCTGCTATGTAGGCCAGCTCTGCTATTTGTGCTGTATAAGCATTGCTTCAAATGGGAGCATTGCTCTGATACCATTAATCATTTGGTTACTGTCTTCTGACCTTTTACAGTATCAACAGAGTATTCTGTAACATGGTGCTCACAACTGTAACTAATATTTTAATAACATAATGCTAGCCATAAACACAATGAAACATCAGTATCTTTCAGCTGTGTACCAAAGCAATGCTCCTGCAATCTGAAAGCAAGATCCAGCTCAGGATTCCTCTCTGTCTGTAACTTAAATGAAGCTACTTTTTAGTAGCTAACTTTAGCTACTAGCTGTACTTTTAAAGCTACTAGTTGTTTTAAAAGTACAGTGCTTCTTGATCAAGAAATCATCATGTCATAGAGGTACAGTGGAGGAGCTAGATGGCACTTGCCATGGCTTTCACCAGCGAATGTGCTTATTTTTATTTATTTATTAGTTTATAAACTAGTCTTTCTTGATGCAGTATTTGGGACACTGTATATAATTTTGCAGAAAATTAAACCAAACTGGGCACAGTGCCCAGAAAATGCATCCATTCCCTTAAAAAAATAGCTCAAGGGGTCTAAAAATTAAAACTAGTAAACCAAAAAGGAGGCAAATAATGGTCAGTGATGCATTGACATGAATAGAAAAGACTTGCATTGAAGCCTGAAGACACTGGTAACACATACCATAGCTTTCCTTTGCCTAAGGCAACAGCTTCTGCAGGTGGGCCAATTATTTCGTATGGCACAGTAGTTCAGCAGGTAGATATGGCATATACCTAAGGGCTAATCCTGCTCCTACAGAAGTCAATTCTAAAACTCCATAGCCCAGAATCACAGGCAGAGTTAGATGTTGCCATGCTGAGAGTTTCAGAGCTCAAAACTTAGTCACTAACTCTAGATCCACAAGGCTGATACAGGTGTGTGTGCTTATCTGTATGCCTAAGAATGGACTTACACTCAGCAGGACACTCAGCAGTGAAACCAGTCCTTAGAAAATACACCAGAGCGGGATGAATCTGTCTCTCGTTCAGACATAGTTACCGCCTGCAGCTCTGCAGAAAAAGTCCACAACCAGCATCAGGTTGGGCTTGGCCTAACTGTTAGGAATCCTTTTGCTTGCTCCCTCTTTGCTAGCATAAAGCTTTCATCCTATTTCTGAGCTGGCTTCAAAGCAGCAAGGAGTGTTCCTGTGCAAGCTTTGCTCCATCTTAATGACTAGGACACTCATAGAATTTAGAAAAGATATTTTTGATTTCCCCTTCTGGATGGGAAAAGCTTAAATCCCTGATCATGAACAGTGCTATGCCTACTGGATTTCTACATGAAAATCAGGTGACCTTTCAACTTTGGTGACATTTTTGAATGAAAATGGCCAAGACCACTGCATTGTGTGGTGCTCTGTGCAAATGCATGTGTGCGAATTTACTTCGACAGGCCCTGCTGGTAATCTAGGTGTGAAGATAACTAGTTTGTGAAAGCTATAGACAGGGGCTAGGCGCTGAGGTGCTCAGCTTAACCAAGATGGCAATGTTACTGAGCACATGCAATAGCAGAACTGTACAAGTCTCACCAAGCTTAAATTATGTTCCTACAAAGCCAAGGCAGCTAAAGAACTTAATGTGTTTCTGTGTATTACTGCTAGCACACTGTCTAAGACAATCTAAAAAGAGCCTTAGGTGCGAAGTCCCACAGTGAATCTGATTCCCTGATTTTGCTGTGAATGGAGCTCGTTTCTCCCGCAGACATTATGACGGGCTGCATCTCAAACTAAAAAAAACTTGGAATATATTGGTAATACCTTACAGATTTTGCAACAGGTTCATTTTGATTTTGTTTGGTTTTCAGGGCTCTTGCTGATGTTATGCGACCTCAAGGTCCTTGTACAACAGATCATATGGAAAGAGATCTAAACATTGTAGTACATGTGCAACATTATGAAAACATGGAGACAAGACCTCCTCCAAATAATTTACGTAAGTTGCATTATAACTTTATCAATATCTGGAATGCTGGCACTAAAATGAGCATCATGAAACAAATATTGCTGGATGTCAAATGAGGATCGACAGCACATGGGTTCTTGCAAACTAGAAATATTCTTTATTTCAAAATTAGAAATATTTAGGATTTCCTAGTGCAAATAGTGCAACACTAAGAGAAAGCCATTTTGAATAGAAAAATTATTTATTATATTAATTTTTAATTAGTTGTCTTGGTTGACTGATATTGGTTTTGTATCTTTGTCTCCTTCTATCTGGTGTTTTTGCTCAGCTCATCAAGCTATGCCTTATTCTATGTTTTGTTATACCAAAATACAAACAGTTAAGCTTACAGCAAGATTTAACAAGCTATTTCATATGGCTGTAACATCCAATAAGAAAGCGGTCTCATTAAACTGTTATATCATCTCCACTAGTAAAATAGTTAAATACTTTCCTGGAGAGCATCAAGTTGTATGTGGTTTTTACGTCTCTTTTTTTTTCTCTCTAAGGGAAAGGCAAGAGGAAGATTATTATTTTAAGTTTTAAATAATATTTTTATTCTGTATCTGCTATTACATGTTTATGTTATTGAAGGCAAGGAAAAAGTGCACCTTGGAGCTTCAGAGGAAATATGGTGACATTTCAAGCGGTTCTGAAGTCCTAGGCAACTTATTTCTCAGTCTTGTATTAGACCACAGTACAGATCTTTCTCATGCTCAGATACATTTTCCTTTTGTGGTGAACAGTTCCACTGCAATTTTAATTTGCATATATATTTATTTATTTTATATTAATAGAGATCTTAAATATATAAGTATACATGTATACAAATTATAGATAATATATTTACAAATTCAAGTTATATATATTTATAAAAGAAAAGGGTATCATTTGGGAAGGTTTAGATTGTCAGGCAGTGGATGGCTTTATTCTGTGCTGTAGATCAATGTAGCTGTGCATTTTACTGCAAATATACTTTTACTGCATTGGTATTTGGATTCTGAACCATATAAAGTATACGCACTAGTCTTTTTCTTATCTTTCTGTAACTATAGAAAGCAAAAAATTTGCTTATATTTGGACAAAGAATGGGTTTTATTTGGACTGCACGGTGTAGTTGTTGTGAGATTTTACTGCTTGCTTTGGGGGAAGGGTGTAAAAACAATGGGAGAAAGAGCAGATTCATATGCTGCATGCACTCCTGATACTGTTTTGTGGTAGAGGCTGACTGCAATTTGTTATGTGCATGGTTACAGAGTAATAGGAGACCTATTAAGGAGACCTTTATTACAGAGTAATAAAGCTGTGACCTCTAATAAAGACACCACATATAGTGAAGTGTGACACCTACTTTGTCTGCACTGCTCTCCAGCAAAGTACTTCCACCTGGGCCTGTGCAGTTCTACACTGCAGAGGGGGAAGCACATACATACTGCAGCATTACATCCCTAATGGTATAAAAACACACCACTTCTGGAGGGGAACTTATGCTTCTCTCTCAAACAAAGGTGCTCTAGCCCCCTGGAGCTAAGAAGGTTTAAGGAGGGTGGGAATATGCACTATATCTCTTCACTCTGTGTATTAGCTCTTTGCTGATCTCTGATCCTTCCTGTGACCATGTTTTCAAGAAGAAAGATGCCAAAAGGTAATAAAGTTAGGGTACAATCTTTATTTTCTCTCATATGTGAAATGTTTATTCAGAATCCCAGTTAATGAAGGAGCCAGAAAGTAAAGAGATTCTTACTGCATTGATTGTATCTAGATTTTTGTAATCATCACACTGAATATTTTGCTTAAAACTCTTTGTATACTACAATATACGACATAACACAGCAGGTCTTTAAACTCATTGTTGCTTAGATTTGAATTCAGATTTAAGCCTTGCTTCTATAAACTCTTGCATATAAATGCAACTCAGAGCCACATAGTTACTGCATCAAGGAAATAAAAAAAAGATACATTTAATAGTACCTTAGGATCTTGGCTTATGATGACCCCAGACATCCGTACCACCTCTCTCTCAGAATTTGGCCCTCTGGCACAGATGGAAGAATTATATGCAAAACAGCTCTTGCACCACTACAATTTACGACATAGAAGCACTACTGCTACTTTGGAGCTATCTTAATCCATTGGGTAATGAATAGGGGCAGTCCCAAGACTGCTTCACATGCAGCTCAGGCATTCCTGCTACAGATGGAAACCTCAGAAGCAAGCAGCTACGATGGTAACTGTTTCAGTCTTTAATCAACTTTATGGATTAAGTCAATCATTTTAGATTGTTCAGTGCAGACCTTCAAGTGGTGAAATTACTCAAGGCATTCTATAACTGGTATTACATATGTTTACTTCATAGCAAGTAGATCATTATTCTATATTTGTTGCCATTATATTCCCTCATAAACTCATCTAAAACATGACTAAATGACCTACTAGAATTAGCCAGAACATCACAAATGATTAAAGTCTTTTGAGAGCACGTGCATTTATGGTGCAGAAAAAAATCTTTATAAAGAAAAATTACTAAGACAAAATTTCCAAGTCCAGTATCTTAGCAATTTGAAATTTTATAGTGGAGTGGATACAAAAGTGGATATTACTTGCAGAAACTTTGGCAGTGCAACATTACCTACTACTAGTACTGCAAAAGTGACTGGCTTTTTTGGGTATTTTTACAAGCAAATAAACCAGAGTGAATTACAGCTTTTGTAGAAATTCTATTCCAGATCTTTACTTATACAGAGAAAATGAAATGGTACAAAATTATAGCATCACTTTGATATGTGTCTTTTTTAAGTTTTTAAATTTTCTTTTCTAAGTTACCACTTTCTATCTACTAGCCATCTCAAAATGAGACTTAAAAATTTGAGACTGATGTACTTTTCACATTGGTCCATAGATATGGAGAGGGCAGGAGGAATTTCTTAGGCATTATGTACCCCTTCTGTACTGTGTCTTTCAGAATACTGAAGACAAACTATTGAAGGCCAAACATTATTAAAAATGTTCTAATTTGAATGTTCATTTGCTCTTTCTGCCCTCTTGAAAAGCATTTTGCTGATGCTGTCAACCCATTCTGAAAGTGTTTTATGGAGGGAAGCTCTGTCAAAATGACAAACTTTGCATGATCTCTGACACTGAAAATGAGTGTGTTTTTGTTTCTGGACTGCTTGTTACCAGAGGACAAAGATTTTCCAAGTTGCCTGCAGCTAGCACAGCTATTTGCCAAAACTAGCCATCCAATGGAAGGCCAAAAGTAGAGATCTCTTTTCAGCATCTTGCAGTTTACTCAGTTTCTTGTCCCTTCTTTTCTGATATTCAGAAAAGTACAGCCATATTGGAGGGTCTGGGAAAAAAATTTTT